AGAAAATTAATTTACTTACATGATTCTCTCTTGACAGAGCAATTTTCTCCAACTTTTTAGACAGTTCTCTTCCATGTGAGGAAGGACTGACCCAGCGGTCTGGTTTTCTTGGGCTCATTAAAATGCAACTAATGTGGACTAAACAGGACCCTTAGAGGATCTGGGTCAGCTTGCTAATCCAACAGCAGACCACTATGGGTTTGGAAGTGGGGATTAGTTTTCTGCCAGCTTAGGGAGTTGAGCTAGATCTCTGAAGGGTTAGCCAGGAGCTGTTGTGGCATGAAGGGAAGTAGGAGAAGGAACTGGCTGGCGTGGGGCAGACAGGGCAGGATGTGCCCTTTGGTGGCAGCTGACTGCTGGAGTCTTCCTCTGATGTTGGGCAGAGTCGAAGAGTCAGAGAAAGTGTTGGGAGAGAGAGAAAGACTGCAAGTAACCACGTCCATTTCAGCGCCAGAATAGCCAGAACATCCACATGATCTGTGGGGTACAAGCTCAAACCTGCCTAAACTAAGCACGGACTCAAAGCCACATCCCAGCTGTGCTCTGAACATCTGTCAAGTTTCCTGGATGAACTTCTCTCTCCTTAGTTCACTCTACTTGCATCTTAAATAAATAAATAAAAGCTTCAGAGATTTGCACTTCAATCTCTATAGTGCGATATATGCTTTGGGCTACCATATCCAGGTCCCTGATAAACATTTAATTTAATACACAGTGGGACATCTCAAGGAGGAAAGATTAAGAAACAATCCCATAAAGAAAAAAAAAAAAGATGGCTTAGCTGATCAAAGAGATGTTTGACAAGCTTTTAAGTCGCTGCTTGCATATGGGCACTGAAAGGTCTTGATGAAGCAGGGGGCAACATCTAGGGGGCCTGTGGGGTGAGATGTGAGGAAGGTCAGCAACAATGTCTGTGCACAGGGAACTTTGGATATATCTCCTGGGAAGAGGTGGTAGATGAGAGGGATATGGAGGCCATGAGGAGATCATCACCCCATCTCCCCAGAAATGTAGCTGAAGGGTGTGTGTAGATCTCAATTATAACTCGCTCCTGGGAGAAAAGTGAAATGGAAAAGAGAAATTTGTTTCCTGCCAAGCTTCAACTAAAAACTGAAAAAAAACCCTGAGAATTCAAGTACTGTGAGACATATTGATGCTTGTCAATATTTCTGACTGAATTATTATCTAGCCTTAATAATTAATGATTGTCATTAACTGCTGCCCAAGCAAGTGGAAAGCAGTAGGTAAATTATTGCTGACTTTTTATCAGTCAGCAGAGCAGGGCAGTGCATAAGCACAAACCCACAGTCAGGTGTGCTGGGTGAGCAGCCTCTTGGTCGCACCAAGGGAGATGCTGCTTGTGGATCAGTGGTGGCTCCCGTGCTTTTGGGAGGAGCTGTGGCTCTGACGGCCTGGATTAGTAAAACTACAAGCCATTTTCTCTCTAAAATCACTCTTCTCAGTGTGACGGCCCTTCTCGGTGCTGTTGACAAGCTGCCTTGGAGCCACCTGTGAGCACATGTAGTTTTCCAGGTCCTTCAGGGTTGCACCGAGACGACGCAGCTGCTGCAGGCTGGTTCAGACCCCTGCGTCAGCCTGGACGTGGGAACAGAACTGGGTCAACATTGCCGAAAGTATTTCTGTAGCCCTCCATTGACAGCCTCAGGGAGGTCTGTTTGGTGCTGTACTCATCCCTTCTCAAAGAAGTCTTCACTGATATTTAACTAGCAAGTAACAGAACCCAAATATTAGAGTATGTGCACAGAAAGAGAAGGTTAAACCGAACATCTCAAATTATGTTTTAAGCATTACAATATCCAGTAATGAAAGAATCTGCATTGCATTCCGAACTAGAACTTGGATTACATGCCCAGAGCAAAATAGTAGAAATCACCATTGGTGCCTGCTGAGGAGTAAATCATCGTCTGTGGTTTTTCACCTAAACTGCAGGAGCAGCCAGGAGGGAAATGGCTGGAACAGGTGCCTTTGGCCAGTAGAAATACACTTGTATGAGCAAAGTCATATTTTTAGCTGGGCCAGCAGCACATAGCACTTCTGCCCTTCTGCTGTCCTCTGAATAAGACCAGAAAGGAAAGAGAGATAAGAGAGGGAACTGGGCACTGGTACATGTCCAAGATTCCATATCCTGGAAGCTGACTTAGCAAATCTTATTCTAGTAGGAATCTATGTGTTTGAGTTATCATTTAGAAAATAAGAATACTCCCAATAGCTTCCTTCATGGAGGAGACAGAGTCAAAGATTTGAAAGCAGAAGTTAGTCCATCAGTCATTTTTGACTGATTGCAGTGTGTTACAGTCTCATACAAAAGAAAACAAAATAAAGACAAACAATGGGTGAGATTTACTTCCCCGATTATTCCCTGCAATTATTCACCCATTGCAATCTGAGATTTTTTAGGTCTCACTTGGGCTGCAGGAAGATTCCTCAGCAAGCTCCTCTGAGCAGCCAACTGCAAAAAAAAATGAAATATGATAAGTGTGTAAGAGCATTAAATGGTAGCATTCTCCATCACCCACAGCCTTTGTTAGTTGTGTTTCCAGGCCAGATGAAGCTAGAATGTACGTACAGCTGCTCTGAGTTGTAAAATACGTTTTGAAATGGGATTGATTCATCTGTGTTTCATGAGATTGAATTAAGCAAAAGAAAAAAGTATAAAGATTTGTCTTTTTTCCAAGCATTTAATAAAAATATTCATTCTCACTGGAGCATAATAGAGATGTGCTTTCGGCACACAGATGTGCAGTAGTGAGAGCCACGTTTGATGTAAGCTGCTCATTCTTTTGTGCAGTGTTAAGAACTGAATGTACTTTCATACTCCTTTTTTTTGGCCTTGACATGAACTAATGTCGAAGCAAATGAAGACCTGGTGGTAAATCCTTTTCAGCACTGCTAATGGTTGCGGTCATTGCAGAGCTGTTACTGGCTGTCCAATCGTCTTTGGGAAATCGAGCTTTCGATAAGCAGACCTTGGAAGTTTGATTTCTGCAACAAAATTTGCTGACATGACTCAGTATTCAGAGGATCAGAAAGGTGTGTGGGTCACATACTGCAGAGGATATTTAAAGCAGGTTTTACGGTGAGCTGCAGTGGATAAAGTCATTAAGGGCGTAATAAGTGATTTGAACAGAATTACATGGGGAAAAACTCATGCCAACATCTCCCATCTATAAAAATGCGTTTTAGCAGAAAACAGATTTACAACTGGAATTTTTTTTTTTTGCGTGTGAGGCAGAACATGCAGGAGAGCAACTGAGCCTCATTTTCTTTTTCCAGTTCCATTGCTTGTTTAATATCTAGAGGTTTGTATTATGGCTGCATAATTTTACAATTTTACAACCACAAATGCGCCAAAACCCTTGACTGGTTCATCAAGTTGAATAATAAGCAGCATAAGATGTCTAGTTTCTTCAACACCTGCACACTCCATTCCTTAGCGCTTTGCAAATGTAAGAGGTGCAGATACATGTGTTGGCTTTGCTCCTGTAAACTAAAACTGTTCAAGTGGTAGACCTTGATCTAGATGTGGGCAGAAAGGAGATATTGCCCACGTTTCTCCAGCAACCCACATTTACGTGGGTGAGCATCTATTTTCAGTTGTTCCTCCAGTTGCTCTGGGAGCAGCTGCACATGCAAGCAGCACAGGTGCCGGGCAGAGCTGGACCTGGCATACTGCGTTCAATAAAATGAGATCATGGAACTTGGTAAAAATTGAGGTACCCTACTGTCAACATGCATTGGTCATCTCAGAGGCTGAGCACGTAACCATGGGTGTGACTGCTGGAATGCACAATGTCTGTTTCACTGGAGACACTTCAAAATTTATCCTCTCTTTTTGTGTAGCTGGCATTTATTTAGTGCTGCTTTAGTAATTGCACAAGGTGGATCTGCCTCTCCCATGCAAAAAGCTTTCAGTGTCGTATAGTCCTCCTCTTGAACATTATCTTCTTCCATTCCCTCATGCTCACCTGTCCCTACTGTCACCCCCAAAATAAGGAGGGACTATTCTCTTGTTCAGTTAATGATTCCCCCCTCCTCTTGAAAGGGGAAACCTTGTCCAACATCATCTGTGTCCATTCTTCTAAATAGCAGAGAGGCGGGGACAAGATGACACAGACTGATTCCTCTCCTCACTGCTTAATGCTAGCCTTCTCAAGAAAAGATTTGTCTTGATAGATAACTGAAACAGTCCAAAACAGGCCTGAAAGTGGATTAAAATTAAAGAGTGAGTGGTCTGGGGTCCAGCGCTCGAAGCTACTGCCTGTATCTATTTTATTTAGCTGCCCAGACATATCTGTATCTGTTTATGCTCCCTCTGTTAGCAGCCGCAAGAGAAAAGCGTTGTCAGTTGTTGATTTATCCCCCCTATTTTAGACACTACTTTAAGGTGAAATGAATCACCCTTTGGAAGTAACTGGCTCTCTATTGACTGTGGAGGGACTTTACATAATGGAGTTCAGATGGCTAAAGGTAGGAAAGTGCATCCTACTCTTACAGCTGTCCCTTCAGTAACATGGGACCTGCACGGAGGTTTTCCTGGCAGAGCTTTCAGTGGCTTTGACAAGGGTGTTTTTTTTTCTGCAAGAAGTGTCAGAGCAGGAGAAAACAGTGCATGCTCCCTGTCAACCCATTTCCACTCTGCTTCATCTTCACCTCTCCCCAGCAACTTACCCATGGGGAAGGATAGGACACAGGACCATAAACCTGGATGAACAACTTCTCCTGCTGCGTGGAGATGCTTAACACTCCATCCCAGTCACCAAGCAGCTATGCAAACCCCAGAGTGCTATGGAGGCAGGTGGATTTCTTTGAGGGACTCTTATTTTATTTTCTGTTGCTATAAAGTACTTCAGAGTGATAACAGTACTTTTAAGCAACAAACAGCTACTACCAAGTCTCTTCGCAATTTCCTTGTAATTAAAACAACTTCTAATGCAAAATAACAAAGTGTGAACTTTTCTTTTTTCTCTTTCTGCTCAGAAATCGAAGCAAAGGAAGCGTGTGACTGGTTACGTGCAGCTGGATTTCCCCAATATGCTCAGTTCTATGAAAGTAAGTAGTTTTTTCTCCTCTTTGTGCAGTACTGAAATGCACTGGGCACTTGCCAGGGGAGCTTGCAGTCGGCCAACTCTACATTTGACTGAGTTATGGCCATGGCTGGCTGCTTCACAAAGCTTCAGCTGCTGGAGTCATACCAGTGCTTAAAGAAAAGTGAGATTCTTGCCCTCATAGCCATGGGAAGAAAACAAAAAGAGAGACATAGTTTGTGTAAATCTCAAAGGTTAACAAAAACAAGTACAAAAAATCCAAATACACAGGCCTCACTTTTTTTTCTAAACTTCCTGAACTGTGTCTAAAATAAGATTGAAAACACTGAAAGTTAGTGAAAATGTCAATCTTACTGAAAATAATATTGAAAAACCCTGCAGAGTTACCAAAAGTGAATAACCTGAGCTCCGTTTTACATTTGCAAAGCAATAATAGCCAACGTTTTGGTGCTGACTCAAGGCAAATGGTTGTGTCCCCTTCCTTGCTGTAAAGTTGGTGCCCAGGGAAGCGGCGTGGCCAAGGGCAGGGCGAGCAGTCGCACTGCTACTGCCTTCACAAGCAGTTTGGGGACTGGGGCTGGGGTTTTTCCTCCTCTCCCTAGCTCAGCGCTAAGAGGGAAATTGCAGCTGATCCTCATTTTTCCCAAATTGCCTGTTCTCTCTGCCAGAATCCCAGAGCCAGCTCCAGCCTGCTCAGGCTTATTAGCCAAAGCGCAGCTCTGCCAAACGCTGCTGGACACCTTCCAGGGTCAGCTTGGGTCTGGAGGCAGCACGGCTCCACGCATGGGGCAATGGCCAAGAAACCTCGAGGGTCAGCGCCAGCTCTGCTGCGAGCCGGCTCGGACGGCATCCATCCCCTCACGTGGGGCTGAGGGTGGCGGGGATCATGACGCCGAGGACACCTCTACAGCTTCCGATGGCCAACTGAGGTCCCTCAAGGCTCAGGTGCTGGCTCCTGATGGGCTGCTCTGGTGCCCGGGAGCTAGAACCATCATGCAGAGGTGCTCAGGTGGCTCCACAGAAGCCAGCCGGGCTCTGTTAAACTCAGCAAGGACCTAACACTACTAAGCCTGCCAGACCAAAGCTGACATAGATGTGTGTCTGCCACAGTCCCTGGGTGCCCTGGTAGTACCTTTTGTGTCTGTCTTGCAATCAGAGTATCTCAGGAGCCCGCTGCCTGCAAAACTCAAAGGGATGTTCCCTCCAAAAAGCAATTTGTGCTAGGCTGCCACAGTTCCCATGCAGTCAATACACGCTCTAGACTGTCTGTGTCTTGGAAAAAGATCCTTTTTACAGGCATCTGTTATGTCAGTGTTAAGCACTAGTGTCTGAAACTGCTGGCCGTAGTTCCTGTATCCCAGCATCCTGCTGCGATACCTAAGCATGGCAGAGCAGTCTGGAGAGCAGCCACAGCACTGGAACCCGTCCCACCGTTACGGAGCCCACTAATGTGTTGCAGCCATGTCACTTTTCATTACCAATGTCAGCTTCCAGCGCTCTAGTCTGGCTTTTTATCTGATATTGGGTGTTCTAATTCAGCCAATTTTTTTTTTTGTCTGTTACTTGAGTAACCTTTTGTCTGAAATCGTTATTGGGACCTGTATTAAAAGCAAAAAGTGCTGAACATTTCTGTTTCATGGGAAAAGTCTGTCTAGCAAATAACTCATTAAGTCACTGTGACAGGAGTGGAGAACCTTGTTGCTCATGTGGATAAAGAAGGTGTGTTGGTAATTCCCTTATCTCATTCGTTTGTGCCAGGTGCTAGAAAGAGCAGCGAACAATTGAATATCTTACAAAAGCCAAAATGAAATAATCTGCTCTCTCTTTGGTGCACAGGACATTCAACTATACTTTTAACAGAAAAAAAATAACAAAGTGACTGAAAGGGTCATAGATAGAGCTGGAAGGAAATGAGAGCTGAGTGAAATCGGCTGTACTAGATTCAGTGAGCAAGCATATGCAGAGCATTTTAGATGTAGACAATGTATTTTCATTTGAGGAGGAGCAAGAAGTCATGTTAATATTATATCTGCTTTTATAGACTCCCAGTTTCCCATTGACATTGCTGCAGTAAAGAAAGATCATGATTTTCTTGACAAGGACCTTGTAGAACCTCTTTGCAGGTAAGTAACACCTAAAGTTTCTTTTCTAATAATTTAAAAACATGACTTGATTTGTTATTGTTAGCATAGCAGCAGAAGCAGCAGCAGAGATGTTTGCTTGTCTGTGTGAATTAAGCAATGATATCTGTAATGCCACCATTCTGAATTCATTTCTCTCATGGAAAATCCTGGAGTAAGACCCACTACAGAAAACCTCACATGATTTGGGAAGACCCAAATCCAATGGATTTGAAACACCTGCCTTTTAAGAAAGAACTAGAAGTAGTACAAGCAAACTGAATAAATGAAGGAGTCACGTTTGAGTTGCACATGAACAACTCTTATGTCCAAGCACAGCAGAAAATATGATACTTCATTGCACAGAATTCAGCAAGTACTTTCTCTGGCAGCAGACGTGGATTTTGTGCTGCTGTGATTCCCTTGGTACTCTCGTTTTGGCATCAGTAACAGAAGGGGGACCAGAACCCCACAGTACTACAGCTGCTACAACTAATCACTGGTTTGCCCTCCCAGAGGACTTGTGTTTGCTGTTTATCTGGCTTTTTATACTCTGTCTGTGATGAATATACCGTATTGCATTGCTCAAGTACTGTCTCCCAGGACCAAGAAGCAGCAATTCTGTGGTAGTTTTGCAAAACCACATTGCAGAGGCATTGTTCCCCTCTTCTTTTCCCTGTGCTTAGCTCAAGCTGGGCTCTGCTCCTCTCCTCTTCAGTAAGGACAAAGGAGCATCTGGCCCCTGACCAAAGAGGCTTTATTACATGTTATGGAAACTTTCACAACACCAACATCTAGATAATTGGACAAAACTCTTATTTCCCTTTCTGCAACTGTGGCTTAAGTCATCAGAGTGTATATGCTGTTCCATTGCACATCATACTGTGCGTTGGAGGGATTAATGAGTCTGTGATGGAGGACTGCAGAGAGGGTTTCTGAGAACCATAGAAAGTAGGACTGGAAGAGAGTTCATCTAGTGCATCTCTCCATCCCTGGAGATGCCCTTCTTCCTGGAGGATCCAGGTAATTCTTGGGTGTAGCTGTCAGAATGCTTTCCCAAAACTCCAGTACTGCAAGTGAGACCTATTGCTTCTCATTTTGTCTGTTATGGATATGGGGAACATGTCTCTCTCTGTGTAGTAGTCTTTGTGTCTGAAGACAGATCAGTAGAAAGACTTTGATCTGGATCCTTCAGTGATTGCTCTCAAGGATGCCGAGGAGCAGAATAACTGTAGACTTGATCTACTGCT